TCTTTTTATGTACAGCTACTCGTTCAACTACATCTACTCACAAACCTTTCACAAAATTATAGCAACATCTTACAAAACTGGTAGTATGTTATGCAATTCAGCACTTTACGGGTTGTTAAATGTACTCACCAAATGAATTTGAATTTTGAATTCAAGCAAACTCGATGATACTTCGAATCCATACAATTAAGGGGTTCATGTCAAACAATAAAAATGACCTTCCAAAATCGACTAAGTTTTTAAAAACTACACTAAATCGACTTCATCTTTATAGCAAATCTAGGCTTAACCTAATTACATTTTAAAATACCTCCTTATATCTCAAACAAAAAATTAACTTGTGAACATTTTTTATCACCTTAATAATGTAAGGTTAATTTATAAAATTTTGCACTTCCAAGTGCCAATAACTACCCTCGTAATGACTTAAAACGACGATCCGATTGTTTGTCTTTTTGGTAAAATTCACAAAGAGGCCATCCTTTCAAGTGGGCAAAGGGCAAAGAGGGCATTCAAGGCGAAAACAAAGCAATTCTGTTGCACTGATTACTGATGTTGTTGGTGTTGTTATTGTTGCCGTTGGTTGTCATTGTTATTACTGTGTTTCATCCACACATACGCATTTAAAACAATATGCATTAATTGTACTCGGAGGCATTGATGGAATTGGAATGGATGGAGTGAACCGGGCAAACGATAGAGAAGAGCAAAGCAGAGTAGAGATAGATGGATGGATGTATAGATGTTTCAATGATTTTGAGATGGGAATTGAATGGGAAAATCTAGACAGCAACAACAACAAGCCTCAACTACTACCACTATTACACTTTTAGTGCGGAGTACAGAGATTCAATTGAGCGGCAAACATAACATATACTACCTCTCTACATTAGACGCACTTATGCTAGATGTATGGATGGATGTACGTACTTACGTACGCATCAAATGTCCAGTGCGAGGCAACAACAACAACAAAAGATTTGTGCTAGCACACAGCCAGCCTTTGCATACATCCATACATATGGGCCTCATACAACACATAAAACAATGTGTGTAGCATTACTTACTATTCCTATGCACCGCAGCATGGTTAGGCAGTCAGTCAGGCAGACTATACTGGGCAAATTGAATATGAAAACATAATTGTTGTTGTAGGCGTACTGTTGTTGTGGTGCGTAGCACTGAGTGAGAGGGTGTGTGAGTGTATGTGCCCAGGCTTCTGTGTGCGTATGCTTGTTGTTGTTGCTTGTGTGTAGTGCTGTTGTTGAGCTCGTGGTATAGCAAAAGAAACATGTTGCACATAAGTTGTGTGTGCTGTGCGGCTTGTAGAATCATTTTAGAACGTTGATTTTTTTATTCCGTATCGGGATGTCAATGCAATCAGACGCATAACGGCACTCAGAGTGTATCTCAAAAACAAACAGAAAAAATCAAAACAATATAAAGATATATATTTTTGTGAAACAAAATAAAAACATATTTAATTAAATAATTTAACAAAAACAATACCAACAAACGAACAAAATAATAAAATTAACAGAATTTTATTTAAAAATATACTAACAAACTTCAAAAGTTTTATAAAAGTGCCTTATTATAACAAACACAACAACAAAAAAGCGCGGCTTTTTTTCGTTTTCTTCTTTGTATTTGCGATATCCAATACCAACACAATAATTGTATACAAACAATGCTGCCCACCAAAAATAACCAATAAACAACATTTTTTTGTTCATATTTGTGTTCTTATCATAATTACCCAAAGTGTAGTTAGTATTTGTGGGTCCGTTCCAAAGTGTGCTTGTGTTTACAACAAATAATAATAAAAATAATCATAATTACAAAAACAATACACGACAATAAAAATAATAATTGTAATTGTTTATAAGAGTAAATGTTATTTAAACGCATTTATTAATTTGGCATTAAAGAGAAAGTTCATTTATGTGATTTCGAAAATGTTTAAAGTCACCATTGTTAAAAGCCAAAATATCAATATTTGTATAACAATGACCAGCAATCAGCAACAACAACAAAGTAATAGTGCATAAACAATAAACATTTTGAACGAAACAACAAAAACAAATGAGAAAAAACTAGTGGAAATTATAAAACAATAACAATACAAATTACAACAGTTTTGTTCGAAAACAATTCCAATCATCATTGCCAATTGAACAAAATCTTGGCATTTACAAAACTAATTTGTATTTATAAGTGGATTTAATGTGCAGCCGACCAGTCAACATGTTTGTCTCCGTGGATAATGCAACAAATACATTCTTCTCAGGTAAATATTGGAATGGGATTATTTATGGGGATTTTCGGATTTTTGGGGATTATATTGCCAATTAATTACGAAATTTTGTAAAAAACTACTTACATGAATTAAAAATTATTAAAATAATTGAATTAGATAAGACAAAGAACACAAATAATCTGATGCTCGAGGGATTTTTCTGGATAAAATCTTCTCAAAAATTTACAAAATGTGATATCTTTGACAGAGAATCTGATTTTACACGAATTAAAAATGTTTATAAACCCCCATTCATTGTTGCCAGGTTATATATATACCTGGCAACAAAACTTAATAAATATGGGGATTTTTTGGGGGAATTTAGTGAAAATTTTGGGGAATTTTTTATATTTTGGAGATTAGGTGGGATTAAATTAAATATTATTATTGTTGACAGGACAATAGGGGAAAAAATAATAAATTCATTGTCCCCGGGCAAATATAATAATAAGAAAATAGGGGGATTATTGAGGGAATTTAGGGAAAATTGTTGGGAATTTTTTACATTTCTGGGGATTACCGCTTAAATTAAGGTCCTTTAGAGAACAGGTTTTCTTCATCATTCTCAGCTAAATATAAAATAGGATGGGACTGAGGGACTGTGGGAATTTTCTGAAGTTTTGGGGGAATTCAACTTTTTGGAAATATATTTGTATGGAGTTTTTAATTAATTTTTAATTTAAAATTTAATTTTATTTATTAATCAAACCAATTGAAATTTTAAATAAAAGGGATTTTTTCATAACTACCCGTCAAATTTAAAATAGGAAAGCAAAGAGATTGCTGAGGGAATTTTCTGAAGTTTTGAGGATAGTACCCTTACTGAATTTGCTGGGGAACCCCATTTTTGTGGGAGTGTCTTTTTTGACATTTTGTAGAGAACGGCAAATTCAAACCATTTTATAAAATTATACAGATATTTATCTGGTTATAAAAAACATGGGAAATTTATAATATTTTTTTTTTTGCTAAAACCAATTTTTACTAGGATTTATTTTTTCGAAGATACTTTATCATTCCAAAAATTCGGAAATAAAATCCCTGTAATTTCCATAACTTTTTTAGGGACTCATCCCAGTTTCCTCAAGATTTTTCAACATTTGGGATATTAAGGGCATTTCTCAAACCCAAAAATTTAGGGAGGTTTTGTGGGGGTTGAAAAAGCTTGAAATAAAAAATTCCCTTTAAATTTGGAAAGGGATTTTATTATTAACTTTATTAAAAAATAATTATTTTTATTTACATATTTGTTTCAAATTTCCACAATATGTTCGTATTTTCTGAAAATGAAGAATTTAAAGAAAATGAATTTGAAAATATTTATACAATATACAGTTGATCGTCTCTTTAAGTTTTCGTAACAAAAAATCACTCGTAATCTCTCTCTGTGCTACATTATTGAAAACGGTCTCTGAAATTAATCTCTAAAATATAGTTGGGCAGACTTGCACACCAGCGTTGATGGGTTCTCTTTACATTTTTTGATGTTAGATGTTTTTCCGATTTTTTTTTAATTAATTTATTTTTTGAACTTCCTTGGGTATTATTTATGCTTTAAAAATATTAAATTTAATAAATTCCCTTAAACATTTTTTATGAGAAATTTTGCCCATCATTGCTCTAAAACCATCACAGCTCTTTAAATCATCAATTTATTATTTTTAGACTAAGAAAATCGGAGGCTCAATAGTCTAACTCCCTCTTTTTCTCCTCTCAGAGTTTCACAAGCAAACATACATTGAAACACATTCCCAACAAAGTCACTCTGATGGTTCGATGCTCTACTTCAGTTATACTAATCTCCCACATATGTTTAAATTCGGGAGAGAGAGCAGCCTCAATGTAACCCAAATCACAGCTTAAACTAATTTAACTTTATCAGAGACGCATGCAGAGATTGAGTGTGAGAGTAAGCTCCATCACAAATCGCGTGCAGTTATTCTATCATTGTTGTTGTTGCTGTTATTCTTTTTACCGAACACATTTGCATTAAGATTAATTGCAATACAGGGACACATTGACAACTAAACGAGGGCAGCACCCTTAGTCCATCCAACCAACAGATACACACACACTCAATCACTCGCTCACGCATAATAGTTAATTCAAATGGTTATTTCCGTTTCATCTGTAGGTTTTGAATTTTGATTTTTAGTTTTGATTCTGTAGATTTTAATAAGCGGAAGTTAAATCCAGATGAATGAATAAACAAATGATGGATAGAATTGAATGAATGAATTCCATTACAAAGAGAGAAACTGAAAATATTTTATTGAATGAATTATCATTGCAGATGCACTTAACATAAATGTGTGAAAAGAATTGAATGAATGAAAAATATTTTAATTGCTTTCTCTTTTTTTTTGCGTTTCTTTGCAGATAATCCCTATTATTTCTACAATGACCCCAAGTCGCCGACAACACCCGACTCACAAAGTTCCAGTAAAGGTTTTTCGATATTCAAGCGTCGTAATTCCAAAGGAACTAGTCCAAAAGTTTCAATACCGGAACAAACACGATTAATTACATCGGCAAATCTAGATACGACAGCCACACTGACGCTGGGTAGCCCAAGAGGGCAATTTGGTTTTCCACATGTAAGTAGAAATGCAGAAAACAAAAAAAAAAATATTTTTTTTTACGCTAACACAAAAGAGCGTCCATAATAATTTTGCAACTTCCTCTTCTTATTCGTCTAATCATATTTTCTCTTTTAGCAATCGTTTGAACTCCAACCATTGATGTCCCATCATCTAGCCCACAACCAGCCACAAATCACCGCTTCTTCACTGCACCAACGACGTCAACGTTCGGCTAGTTCACATTCGGAAACATGCCGTGAACGTTTGGGCTCCTGCAGTGAGGCATCCACACCCAATCATAGTTTTGATCATGATGATTGTTTCAGTGGTCCCCTATCACCAAGGTAAGCGAAATAGTTTTTTTTTTTGCAAATTTGATCGTTTCCTTGATCTTTTGACATTGAAAGGAAGTTGCAACTAATGCAGCTGTTGACAGTTCATTTTGTTTTCCATAACTAATCGTGCGGAAATTTGCAACTCCCAATTTTTTTACATGCTATTAATTCGAAATCTATTTTTTATTATTTTATTTATTTTTTATTTGCATAGCAAACATCACCATTCACATCATCATACATTGCCAACAGCTGGCGGACGACGTCATTCATTTAGCAATTGGCGTCATGCTAGCGATCGTCATGCCTCGACATCGTCACATCATAAAAATGTTGCTGCCAATAATATAACAACAACCGATGAAGTGCCACAAATGATGGCACCACGACCACCGGTTATATCGCCAAATAAATATCGTGGTGGTGGTAGTTCACATAGAAGACGTGGTAAGTTTTTCTCAAAATTTGAAATTTATATTTAAAAGAAAATTGTGGTTGCAGAAGAAAATCAATTAGGGAAGGATTTTATAAATACTAAATTTACAGACTTCTTAAAAAATAGTTATTAAAATTTGAGGTATATTTTCAAGCGGTGCATACTTTTACAATATTACAACATTTACAATATTACAACTATTGTAAATGTTCGAAAGAAATTTCTTTAGATTCTGGTAAATAATGCTAAATGTTTGCTTTAGGAAATAAGTCTGCACAGCTTTTACAAGCTTTAGGAACATAAAGGACCCTCAAATGCATTATTTTAAAATTACGAAAATAATACTAATATTGATGCCTACTTTTAGGCAAATAATTTTATTTCCATTTTTTGAATGTGAGAAAATTTACTGGGATTCAAGAGGAAAACGTATTGAAATATTTGTCCTACAAAATTAATAATTACCGCACATGAAAAAATGTGTATTCTGGTCTATAACTTTCGATAGTGATGCCTACTTTTAGGCAACAATTGTTATAATGAATTTTTTAAATTTTTGAACTACTTGCTCTTGTATACAAAAATAGTTTCAGGTGCCTATTTTTATAAGATTATATCGTAACTTGTAAAATATATTTCTTATTGACTTCTAACTAATTTTTTTTTATAAAAATAGGAGCTTACAACACCCCAACTGCCGAACTTCTAAAATATTTCCCTTATAACACCCCATCTGCCGAACTTCTAAAATATCTCCTTTATAACACCCCATCTGCCGAACTGCTAAAATATTTCCCTTTTTTGTTCGCCATTCATAAAATGTTTTCATTCAGATGTTTGCTTTCCTTTCCAGTCATTCAAAAATACATCAAATGATTGAGCAAAATTTTGTGCAGTTCATAAATTGCACTTCAATTTTTGGTATTGGGTGTTGGCAGGCAACAGATTTTTTTATTGATAGAGTTTTTGAAAAGTTCACTGCAGCCATAAATATTGCACATCATAAAAAATCTGCGGTGTCTGTGCAAAGTTTTCGCCAAAGCAAAGAGGTCAGAGACAAAGAATGCAATGGTGGAATCTAAACGGAAACTTCAACATGTTTCAGTAATGTCAGGTGTTTATGGCCAGAACTATTTGTAATGGTGTTGATGATATTCCGAAAAAAGTCTACAATGTTTACTTGAAGCGATTCTAAGATTCCTTTCACATTATTGGAATTTTTTGCTTATGATTTTTATTTGTTTGACTTGTAATTGTTTATGAGGTGTTCAAAAAAAAAAAAAAAAAAAATTGATATATGTAGTAGTACGCATATAACTCATAAACATGTGTTCATAATTCACGCTCCCCCTATTAAAAGTCATATATCATCGATTTTTTATTTTCATTCACTAACATGCCACACATGAGCATTATCTTTTGCTTGAATTCGCCATGTCTATTGGGGAGAACATCTGCTGCTCAGATTCATTTTTTTTTTTGGAATTTTCTGTTGGGTGTTGTGCTTTACTTCTCGTAAATGTTAATGTCTGCTAGTTTCTTTTGCTTAAACAAAACATTTTACTCTTTTAAAATTAAAATAAAAACAACACAATTCGAAAATTTGTCTGTTCTTTGCACGCACATTGTTTACAATTCTTTGAATCATTTCAATTTTTACACTGAAATAAGGCGAAAAAATCGATTTAAACTTAAAGCAATGGATAAATTGCTTAATTTACACAACAACAAGAACAATTTTTTGTTAAGTTGGTGAAGAAGAAAAATTCTGAGAAGCGCAAAATTAAGTGAAAAAACAAAAGTTTTTTGGTAGTTGAGATGGTAGAAAGAAAGGAAGCAGAAGCAAAGAACATTTTATTGCACATCTGCTCGACTGGAGCTCGGATAATTGTTGACTTAATTTTGTGGGAGTAAAATTTGCTGGAAAGTAATTTCGAATCACTGCAGAGGTAATAGATATTAAAATTTGAACATAAAATCATTGAAATGAGGAAGTGGGAAAAAGTTTTAGAAAACTGAAATTATAGTGCTCAACAGTTCCTATAATTGTAAAAAGAAGACATTTTTCTATTTTTCAAAAATGATACCTCTACAACTTCTGTATGCGGATATTTCTTTAAAGAAAATCACCTGATCATTAGAAAGTTCTTTCTAATAATTGAAGCATATATTTTAGAGTTTATTAAATCGTTAAATTGTATGAAAGCTCTTATAAAGACCTGACCACTTCTCCTTATTAAAGAATGATCAATTACTTTATACTATTTACAATTCAAAAATAATGTCCCAATAATCCTCTTTTGATATCTATAAAGAATATCACTTGACAATTAAAAAGGTCCTATTAATAACTGAAGCATACATTTTGGAGTTTGTTAGTCCGATAAATTGTACTGCATACTTTTCGGAAAAAAATATTTTCGTTTTTGTAAAAATTAAAGTTCTTATGAAGACCTGAATGAAGGCTACTTTTTCTTTTAAAAGGATGATTAGCAAATGATAGATAAGTTGTCATACATTGTGGTGCCTACTTTTAGGAGATCTCAATGTTTTTTTTTTGTATAAATTGATTTAATTAACAAGTTGGCCCTTTTCTTATTAACACTTCCATGCGACCTACTAATAATTTACTTTTCTGCCCAAATAAGTTATTTGTGATGCCTACTTTTAGGACCTTAACCTGTTTTTCTATATGTAGAACTTAACCTAAAAATTCAAAAAAAAAATTTCAAATGGAAATTAAAATATTCGATATGTAGACCTCTATTTAAAAATTCAGAGAAAAAATATTGAAATGGAAATTTGTGGTGTATGTATATATTTTTAAAAATAAATTTAATAAGTATGTTTTCCCTATTTGATTGGCTTTTGACTTATTGGAAATGGGAATTTGTAGTGCTTGTTTTTAGGAGTTTAACAATATTTCTTATTTAAAACTTATTTAAAAATTCCGAAAAATATTAAAATTGGGAATTTGTGGTGCCCACTTTTAGGGCCCTTGATAAAAATATTTCTATATCTCAGGCGCTTACGTCTTTATAAAAATATTTGCATATATTTTAAAAGAAAGATCCCTGAATTATATAAAATTAAGTCATTAGGCCTCCAATTAAAAAGTGTTCCTGATCGCTATTTATAACACCTATTAATAACACCTCTTGGTTTTCCACAAATAACGCCCTACATTGTTTCTTCAAAATGACGGAAATGTTATTTTTTCTTAATAAAAAAATGACTTTCCTTTCTATACACACCCACCGCTTCACCCCTTTCGCCCCCACACAACACAACGACTCCAATATCATTAATTTTCTTTCACATTAAAATTGTTGAAATTCTTTCACAACTAATTAGAAAACATTTAATTTAATATTCTTAACACAGAGGTGGCATCAATCAAAAAATTACTGATTTATTAGGACAGTTTGAAAGCGCGATAACAATCATCACACACAGTAGTCGTATCTAAGCCTATCTCTCAACAATATCCGACAATCTAATGTAAAAACGATTTGAGAATTTAATGACAGTTCACAACTAAGACAAAAAAACTGATGACGACGGCTTTAAAATTGCTTTCAATCTAACACTTAACAAACCTATACACCTACCTATGTGTGTGTGTGTGAGTATGCCGTGTCATAGACAGGTAACCAACCTCTAATCAAAAATATTGGCAACAACAATCTTGACATCCTGTAGACGACAGACAAAGCGTTATAATTTAATCAGCAGACAAATGAAAAAAAAAAAACATACAGCTTTAGTTTAGCACGTTTACATCGTAAAGTAGATGGCTAGGAGGAGAAGTAGTCACAGGTAGTCAGTCATCAAAAGTATAGGCGCCACATGGTTGTTGTAGTTGCGCTTTTGTCGTCTCCAATATTCCAAAAAAACCGAGATCCCCACAATATTCACAATGTATATATTTAAACAAGTGTCGTATTACTCAAAAGCTTCTCGGCATGTTGTTGCAGTTTATTTTTTTGCCAAAGTTATTGCCTTTTACTGCTTGCACAAAAAAAAAGAAGGAAATTATTATCATTGTCACTAAAGTGCAGAGCATTCACTCACTCGCTTGCTGTTTAAAAATAACAATGACAGCCGAGAAGAGACATCAATTGGTGAGGAGAAGGACAGCCTACTTGTAATCCACAATCTTCAACATATTTGTGTTTGGGTTTTTGTTTTCTTACAAGTCTTGCTTAAATTGTTTACGTTGCTGAGCTCACAACAGCCTGGTTTTTGCATTGCATTGCAAATAAATGTGACATTTAAACGTAGTTTTGACATTGACAATATTGAATTTATGAAATAAAAATGACATTTTCAGAAAATATGGCCAAGAATTAATAAGTCTGTTTATAATTGGTTTTTCGTCTGGCCGGCAAATAATGTGAGGGCTGTTAAGAATATATATTTGTATTTTTAGACAATCCTTCAATTGACTTTAATTGACAGGAGGACACAAAAGGGTAAATACTTAAAGGAAGACTATTCTGATACCTTTTATAATTGACTATTAATTTTGAAATTAAAAAATAGTGTTTGAATATTCAACTCTTAATGCTTTATCTTGTACAAAACTGACTTTAGATATAGAGGCAAAATCAATTATTGATCCCTACTTTTAGGCTAAAATCACATTTAAAATATATATTTTTTAATTTTTGTGTTCAATGGGTTCCTGCATTCGACCTAAGGGCCTTAAATCCTTGTCAAGTAAAATACTGACTTTAGAAATAAAGGCCAATTCAAATATTGATGCCTACTTTTAGGCTAAAAAAATGATTTTATATATATTTTAAATATCTGGAATCGAAAAATCGCTTCTATGATCCAATATTGATTTAATTTTCATCATTCAAAAATTAAGTCCTCTATTTCTCCTCTTGGTCTTCTACACAAAAAAATAATAATGACAAATTAAACGATTTTTTTTAATTTATGTGAAAAATATTGGTGCCTACTTTTAGGAGTACTCTCATAAATTAATTTAATAAACAAGTTT